CAGTGATGGATGGACTCATTAGTAGTTCAGTTGTCAGCTACTGAACCTGGAGCCAGGGCATATGGTTTACCAGATGCTCCAAGGGCTCTATGGATGGGGCTGTATAGGTGTCATCTTATTCTGGTCATCGAAAAGAGATCTAAAGCCTTATGGAACCGCTTATGATATTCACTACCATTTCCAAACTGGAAAGAAGATGAAGACAGCTTGGTTCAGAAATAATAAAGGGGAAAGAAATTGGCTCTGATATTCACACTGAGCTGACAGAAAGGCAGCTGAATTAAATAACTAGGGTAGCTTTTGAACTCTTTATAATCTGACTTTCTCCCCTGGATTTTGCCTGGATCTTGTTTCAGAAATGGAACCAATGCATCATTGATCCCCTTCTTTTTTCAGCTTCCAGATTTTCCGAGGTGTGTTTGCTGCAGATTTCACTTCTTTCATTGTCCCAACATGCTCTCTCTTATATACATTACCAATGTACACATACATATTGATACAACACTGTAAAAAAGCAATCTTTTGGATTCTATGATTGCATCAGGGGTCTTTTTGTGCAGTGTTTCACCAATATACATGCACACATATGTGTGCTGATACAATAAGAACCCTGATGCAAATGGCTACAAGCCACAAGAAAGCAATCTTCATGCAATAATTTACATTGCTTTTGCGCTAACAAATGCTTTGTTCTGTCAAAGCATACATGTGCATTTGTAAGCAGTGTTAAAAATGCAAATATGGAAAGAATAGAAAACTACAGTAAGCTCTATGCACACTCCAATTCTAGAATGTATTCCAGAAATGTGCCTAGCCAAGACAGAATTCAAGAACCATAAAGCAGGGGAAGGGAACCTGTGCTCCTCCAGATATTGTTGGACTCCGGGTCACAATGATTATAGATGAAGGAAGCTGTGGATCTCTACAAAATAAAACAATGAGAGAGAGTGGCTAATGATGGAAAATCCGATGCACAGCTGGAACACAAGTGACAGCATATATGAGTACAAGGCTAAGCAGAGATAAGTCTGCTATCTGGGCGAACATACACCATTGGGCTGATTAGATCACCATCAGTCAGTAAGTTCAGATTGTCACTGCCACAGCCAGATCACGCACTGTTACATCATATCATAATTGAGTTATCACCTGTTGCAGAAATACTATCACCGATGAGCTCATGAATTATTTGATTCTTTTACTTCAGGCAGTGAAAGCCAATTGGAAGGTAATAATTCTCTCTCAACCCTCTCATCACTGTGAACTTGCCCTCTATAATTTCAAACAGATATTTTCAAATGAAATAGGCAAATTTACTTTACAAGATGATTATCTGGCAAAACAACTTCAACTTTTCACCTGCTTTCAGCTCTACTTCCTCACTAAAGAAACTTTTTCATATTTTATGTTTCCAGGCCTTGCAAGGGTGCTTAACTGCATCCCATCTCACAGGGTTGTTGTTGGAAAGGAGGCAAAGAATTTTGTAAGCTGCCTGGAGTTACGTGAAAGGGAAAAAAGGTGGAATACAACTATAGCCTTTCTGTGACCTAACTTCCCTGACCACCATCTGGCATATCAGAACATTATTATTTTTAAGTGCTTCCAGAGAGCCCACATGATACCATTTCCCAAGCATTCGCAAACTTGGCACCAGAAAGATTCCCACAGTGTGCCAACTGTGCCTGCATGCCTCTCAGGCACAGTTTGTTTGTTCTTTCCACCTCACCTTCCTATCAGGGTGTGAACACAAAAATACTCCTCTTTCTTTACCTGTTCTGCAAATGGAAGGGCTCAGAAGCACCTTCCTGGCTGCAAGCATTAGTATGCTGTTAATGTACATACTTTTTGCTACATGGAATTGTATTTCTGCATGTTGCTATTTTGTGCAATGTGGATTCCCCAGCACTTCCACAACATAAATTTGCAGGTGATACACCTTTATTCTACCTTCAAGGCACCACCTTTCACTGTTTTGAGCTGGAACTGAAATGTTCAGTGGGAGGGGCACATTACAGCACTGCGAAGGACTATGGGCCAAGGAGATGGGATCAAGGACAGAAAAGTAGGGTCAGATGTGATGCATACTAAATTTGACTAAGCCTAGTGCTCCAGCATTCAGAAATGTGAAGTGCAGTTCATTTCTCATGTGTAATGGTATATCAACTTTAAATGCTCAGGAGGGGCTCTTGCAGGTTGGAGGCCCCCATCCCCTCTTTTAAGATCAATGTGAACAAGAATTGTACACTTATTTTTGTTTCAACAAATGGGTTCCAAGAATAATTTTAAATAATTGTCGGAAAAACAGATTGAAAGATATAGAACATTAAGAGATATGGAATGCAAGACCAAAGAGCACTTAGCTGATAGTTCAATGGAAAACTGTAATTGAATTCACCAGCAACATTTTCTACAAGCAAACATTTCAAAAGGATTTTATAAAACCTCCCCATATGCCATAACCATTCATTTACTGCACATTCCCCTATGGATTAAACGTTTCTCTCCTTGAAGCATAAACTTTACTAGCGTAATCCATATGATCTACCCCACAGGTTCACACATTTGAGGTATTCCACCCACAGGCCTTACTCCCAAATGCTGATCTACCTGTTGTTCATGCACAGGGTCCTCCTTCATTACTATCCTATGTGAAACTGCTACAGGGCCATGGCATACAGACCCATCAGCTTTGGAGTCTGCGAACACATTCCTGCTGCCTTATCATGTGCTTAGTAAGAGCATGAGGCATGACATTTGTAATGCCCCTCGTGGTTCCCAATTTCCATGAAGAACGGGCAAGAACAACCCAACTGAATTCTGCATTGCTTTTAGGAATAATTGTTAAAATATTCTCTTCCCATTCAGTTTTGAGGGTTCACTGAGTTTGCTGGTTCTATTCTACACCGACTTTTGACTGTGATCTTTAGGATTCTGACTTAGGAACATCAGGCTATTGCATTGTTTACTGTGTATTGTTTAATGAAAATTGTTGTGTTTCATTTTGTAAACTCTCTTGATGAGTAGAATTTAACATAAAAACAAAGAGAAAAACGCAGTATTAAATGGTTTATTATAGGCACAACAAAACATATGTTTGCTATTCAGCTTTGGCTCTTAACCATCTTCCCTAGAGAGAAACATTTGAAACGATCTGTCAGCTAACTGCTTTGGAGGCCTGAGTGGTCTGGAAATATTCCAGTGGACTCTTAAAAAAAAAACCCCAAACAAGTGTCTAACATTAGTACCTGTCCCTTATTTGGAACAATCGTCCGTTTTCTCTCAAACTGTGTTCACTTTGCCATTTGGCCTTTGCACACTTTGTTTCTTTATAATGAGTTTTTTGTGTTTTGAGTTCTCCTTTCTGTTCATTAAAAATTCTTACAATCGGACTAACTCCTGGAGATATGATATGTGATTCTAAAACCGGCAATATAACTAAAAGTAGTCTTTGAAATCACATGATGAGGGTAGGAATGTGTGAGGAATAGTTTTGGGTGGACAATTTACCAAATCTGATTCCTTGGAGTCAGCTCCCTGGACTCTAGTACACTTTGCAGAGGCCCAGAGCCCAAGTTTCTCTCAAGTGTGCCCAGGAATCATGGGTACTCACCAGGAACTGAGCCCTGGGGCTGCATAAGGAGAGCCATTCTTCCATGTTTGCCACAGCCACTGGCAACAGCAAGCAGGGGAGAAGCTTGGCTGCCACAAATGGCAACTGCGGAAGGTTGCCAGTTGTGCAACCAGCTATTTACAAGCATCTGTGGGCTTCCTACCTTTCCAGAAACAGACCAAGCATGAGGCGAAGTTGGTGGATTCAACTAGAGTCATCATACTGAAGCAAACCCTGCAAGTTTTCATTTCCTTTTACGCATTACTAATATATGCTGCTATACTTCATCTTGTTCTAACACTGAGAATTGCTGAATGAGTTACCTTCCTTGTTTGAGCTGTGTACGGACAACTGTGTTTTCTTATAACTTTGTTCTTACCCCGTGTGTAGCCAACCAGTTAACACAGCCCTGACTTTTAATCTCAAAACATACACATGGTTGTTTTGTTGAGAATTTTCTTCTTTGTTGCTAACAAGGCTGAGACATAAGCCAACTTTGTTTTTAGATAATAATCTTATGTTAAGCTGCATCCATATGATACATCTTTAAATTTGGTCTATGTAGGGCCATAAAGTCACACTGTCAGGCAACATCTTCAGGCAGGACTTTGTCCAAGGACAGGCTGGAGATTCTGGGAATTCAACTGGGGACTTTCTGCATGCAAGCATGTGCAGCAGAGTGTGAGCAGGGTCCACCCCATGCAACACCCCCAAAGAGCAAGAAACATGACCCTGTAAAAAGCAGCGGACTGTCCTGTCAATTCCGCCTTTCTTCATACCAGGCTGTGCACTGCCCATGCATAAATATCCAAGAGACCTGGCTACGTGTGTGAACCATCCCTGCTGTTTCATGATGCGGTGATTGTTTCACACATGCCAGGTAAACTTCAGTCTTGCAGTCACGAAATTATAAAAATGCATGTGTGTGCCATTGCCTTCAGCCTCAAGTTGAACAGCACATCTTTGTATTATTCACCTTGTTCTCTGAAGGTCTATTTAAATTGTTTTGGTAAACCAATAGCCCCCACATAAGGTTGCCAGTCTGCAATCCTCATAAAGAGTAGAACCATTGATTAGGTAGGAGGGAAACTAGCTGTGCTTGCTCAGATCCTTCCTCTCCCTGATCCTTCCCTCTGTCCTGTTCTGCACTAATGAATAGGGCCATGTTTGTCATGCTGCAGGAGAGGTGACAACAGACTAATGGTCTGGAAGGAGAAGATGGGAATAAATGCTCATTATGGCAATCCTATCCTAATAGAAGAACCAAACTGATTTAAAAATCAAATGCATTTCGCAGTCATGTAACTTGATTTGGATAAACACAAAAAAGCCTGAATATACCTTTCACAAGAAATATGCCCACAAATGAACCAGAACAAGCTAGCCTTACCTGCAGCCATAACTTGTTATTCACGGCATCTCTCCCTGTGGCAATGCATTGAAATGTAGCGTTCTGGCCTGCATTGACCTCCACATCCCCCAGCCTCAAGAAATGAGGAGATTTATCTGTGTGGGTGGGGAAAAGAAAGTTATAAAAAGTGCTCACAGACACAGAGGCCCATGGATTTCTCCTAAAAGATGCACATTACTGAAACCTTTGGCTAAAACCAATTTTTACTTGAAAGGAAAAGAAAAATAATTGTTTCAGTTTACGGAGGACAAGCCAGTCTTGATCTTCCCTTCTTTACCACACAAATTCTGCTGAAGCTTGTCAAACAGAGTATAAAAACTGGTTTTTCATAAACCGAAGCATGTAAGGATGTTAAACTCAAAAGAATTCCCAAGAACTCTTAGTGAATTCCCATTATATTTTGTGTGAAACCACCACAATGTGAAGCCACGGCACTACAAACCTCAAGAAGCAGATTTAATTAGCCATATACAATGGGATACAGTGCAATGTAGAATTCCTGTCAGTAAATATCACCTGTATCACTAAATACAGCAATATTCAACCTTCTGACAACCCTTTTCATAGTAACTGCATTGCCTCAAGGAAAGCTCAGTGACAAAACTGTCCTGTGAAATGTTAGGGGTGAAAAAGGCAGTGGCAGTAGTTGGGAGAGATATGTTACAGAGTTCTCACACATTACTCTACTGAATTACTTGGGAACAGGCTGAGCATCAAGGACAGCTTAGTTTAGCCTTAGCAAATAGAGCAGATTCATTCAGCTCCATAGTATTTGCCATTAAACACATCCATTCTACTGAAAAACAGAGACTCATGTGCTCATTGATTATCAGGATCAAGGGTAATGTTGATAATCCCTTGGATCATGTAATAAAGAGCTGCTGATGCTAAAGTGAAACTATGGTCATTGTCACTGATAGAAAGGTAAATGTAAGAAGCAGGCTGGGAGATCCACTCACTGAATCATTGATGTTTCATTGCAAGAAGGTGTGATTACTATACCATTTCCAGACCTCAATTATTCTATCAAAACAAAATCTGGGTGCAGGTTCTCTAACCAATACCTGTCCTGTCTCTAATTTCTTTTTTCCATACAATTAAATGAATTATTGTTCTACAGTTCAAAGCACAGTTGGGTAGAATTGGGCTGCTCTGGAAGACTGCCTGGGAACTGCATCAAGCTCAAAATATAGCTTCTATACTACAACTGGAATGGTCAGGGGGAACACAATTCACCAGTACTAACAACATTCACTGCATCCCAAGTTAATTTCGGAGCCAAAGCGAAAGAACTGGTGCTTACGTTTGAAGTTCCACATGGCTTGGGAACTGATTACCTGAAAGAGCACCTGCTCATACACCAACCTGCCTATGAGTTGTTCACCTCAGTCCATCCCCACTACCTCATGCAGGGGGCCCCTCCAGATCCCTGAAATACTACACAGAGGGTCCAGACACCCTACTGGATGGGGTGAGCTGCGATGTGGAAGGGAAGGGTGATCTCCAAAACCTGGGTGACTGTACCTTCCATGAATGGAGCCCTTCTTCTCATGGAAGGTCCCTTCCTCCAGCAGAAGGCACATTCTGGATCCAAGCCAGTAGCTTTTTCAGGCCAAGTGCACAGTTTGTGAAGGTACAGCTGCTTACAACTCTGAAATGTTACTTCTCTGAAGACAACTGGACCCCTACACTTAGATAGTTTTTAGAGCTGCTACAAGACAATGTGGGCTAATTGTTAAGGACTGTGATGAAGCAGGGATGGGGCATTTTTTGTGTTTTCATTGGTTTTATAGAATGTAGGCTCTTATGCAGAGCCTTGGGAATAAGATAAGCTGCAAAAAGTTAGGCATCTGCATTTAACTATGAACGACACATCTGAGGATTATGAAAGAGGAATAGTAAATTCAAATAATTATGGCACAATTAAATTAATCCATTACTTCCACACAGTTATTTTCTTTTCTAACAAGACACACAAAAAGAAAAAAAAAAAGATGGAGAAAGACACTAAAAGTTGACTGATGAAAACAGAGCCAGACAATATTGAGCCTGTCTTGAAAAAGACAGAGAAAAATGTGACTCTTAATCACTACTTACCACAAGGGTAACTCAGGACTTGGATATCATCAATGGCAATGTAGCCATTTCTTCCATCTGAGACTTCAGCCTCAAATATTACCTGTCAAAAAGAAAGAAAACATGTTTACAACACTCACTGCAACAGAATTCCCACTGGTGCACTGTGCAGACAGAAGACTACACTTTTTCATTAAAGCTGAGGTCGTTGCTATATTTCATTAACAGATTTAATACTTTTCACTGTTGTTTATTTATATACCTATCAGCTCTTAATTAATGATACTTTATCGCTCATGCATTCTCTTTTTAGGCTGTTAACATACAAAAATATTAGAAGAAATGTATCATTAAAAATGGGCCATGCCTTTCCAGTAAAAAGATCAATAATTTTTCAGTGTTTCACAACACCACCAAGTGACAAGTCTCCTACATTTCCTGGAAAGGAAAGATTAATGCACCTGCAGGCATTGTCATTCTCTGTTCCTGTTCAGATAAAAATGACATATAATGAATAATAATGGCGTCTCCTCTTATGGCTTGACCAGACCTGTGTGGAGCATGGGTGGCAGAAGCAATACAATGACAAAGCTATTCCCATGCCCGTTTGACCATGAACATTAGCCTCACAACACACCCTAAGAGTTTGTGGAAAAGAAGAGAGGAAGGGCTTCAACAATACTTTCTTTCCTATTCAATGAGCTGCTCTTTATTGAGACTACGGCAGAGTGGGCTTGGGAGAGCCTCTCTCTCAATACACCCTGTGTTCCCAATGCATCTTCATGGCATTCATGAACTCGACAACAGATCTCCTTTGGGCCTGAATGTACAGATTCACACAAAAACACAGTAGGATGCTTGGTGCAAGAATCTGTACACACTCACCCACCAAAACAACAGGTTGGCACCATGTTGAAGAAGTGCTACAGAATGCAACAAAGTTAGAGGAGGAAAGTTGTTGGGGAAAGATGGGACACTGAGAGGGCCTAATTTAAAGACAAAAACATGTACAAAAGAAGGGAAAAAATACAAACATGGAAAGTTCTGTGATGGATGTACCAGGGTACTGTTGCAGCTCTAAAGTCCACTCCATCTACACAGCTAATTCTTTGGCCTTTCTATTTCTGGATTGTGTCTCTGGTTGCCTGTTTTGTCACTCTCGTATCTTAAGAAAGGACAGCTCAGAAATAAAGTGCTCCTTTGGAGCATCCTTTTAGTCACTTCTTCCTGGCACCTGACCTGCCTGGAAAATCTTGCAAAAGGTTTTCCAGGAAGGTCTATATCTTGGCAAATTTCTCCTGCTGATGAAAAGGCTTGGGAAACATAACTCTCTCTCTTCTACAGAAATGACCCCAAAGCTCCAATATGTCTATTACAATTACAGTTTAAACTAAGGCATGGAAATTATATCTCTCTTCAAAATATGCAAATTTTGGTTGAATTCAAACCTAAGTCTCTTCTGCAAATGGCGAGTCCCATTGAATCTTCTGCACAAGCAGAACCTGCTGCTTATGCAAAACGGGTTCACTGCAGAAATTCTTGCTTTTGAAGGGAGACAGTTCAGCAGAGCTCCCTTATAGAGTTCTACTGATCTGCTTCTTTTCAGAAATGGGCATTTCAGGCTACCCTTGGAAACACCAAAAATCACCTGCCTAAGCAGTGGGGACTGTTTGTGGAAGAGAATCCAAAGCTTAGGAGGAATGGCAGGGTATAAGCATTCTGTTGGATGCTCCTCTACATGCCTTGATGTGCTTCAACACCCTTAGACACCCAGAGAGAACAAGTCAACAATTGCTCTACTCCTGGAAGGACTGACCCTACAGAATTTACAGGAGTGAAGGTTTTAAGGTCCCATCTAACGGTGGGATTATTTGGTGTTACATACACAGAAAACTAACATTAATCAGCAAACTATTGATCCTTTTGCCAAGTCACTCAATGATGATAGTAAATCCTTTCCTCTATTTTTCATGGTACAAAAGTCCATCAATTTCTTTTTTTAAAGAAAACTTATGAAAGCCACATTCATTCCAATGCCATAAACAGATAATTGGTGACTGACAAGATTAGAGACCTGAGCATCCGATATATTCACTCTTAAGCTGTCTTTCAGCTTATACCTACTCCGCGAAGCTATATATGTAAACTGGAATGTATGGCTATATGTATGTGAGACAAAAGACACATGAGATACATATTAGGAGCTTCATTATTATTATTAACACTTCTCAAGGAAGGCTATATTGACTAATTGTCTTCCAATCAGTTGGTAAAAATTTCCCAGCCAACACAGTGGGAACCGCCTAAGTGTCACCTACCCCAGAAATTCTGTCCTTACGGTTTTGAGCTGAATGCTCCATAGTGGAGTTGCAATCAAAATGGGAAAGACCTGTCAGCTCTAAAGAGAATGAACTGCAAAGTTGCAAGAAGTTCGGGAGTAGAGTGCATGTACGAGTGTTTGTACCTTGCCCAAAGTTGAGGACACGTGATGCATGTCACCACTGTATTGTTCTACAAAACTAACCAATAGGATCATGCCATTTTTTCCTGAAATATGCCTTCAGTTCTATACATGCAGATGCTTTATTCTAAGAAAATAAGAAAGGTTTCCCTTTCTTATTTGGACTTTATTCTTCCCAGCTCAGCCATGGTATACATCATTAAGATGGAACAGTAAGGCAGATTCTTCAACTGTCCAAGATCAAATTGTCCTTATCATTTCGGCAAATCGTTCAGCCGGCAAATCATTTCTTTCTCTCTACAGAAGAAGATGGTCTCTGGCAAGCTTAATTATCCAAAACTGACTCAGCTGCAGGTCAGTTCTAATGCCTAATGTCAAGAATTATGCTAAGGGATTGGATACAGCAGAGGCTCCTATCATAACAATATGGAAGCAAACTTACACCTTCAGCTTGGCAATGAAATTAACTTTGCCCTTCATTTCTTCATTTGCTTGAAATCATGATTTATTCTGACCTAGTTCTTCTGATCCCAGGAACATTTCTAGAGTACTGGTTGTATTATTAAGTGTAGGAATTATATAATATTTTAACAAGTCTGAAGAAAGCTAAGAAGATAGAGACACCAATGAGAGTGCACCAATGTTTTGTTTGTGGGTTTGTTTCACCCTTAGCAGTTAGCATGAGTTGCACATCTTGGAAGAGTTTAACTCCACTGTTGCACATGTTCTACAGTAATTATCACAGTAATTCTGCTATGATAGATTCTGGAGACACAGATACTTTTTAGGACCAACCTTAAGAATGACTGCTTTAGTACAGCAAAGTACTTCGTAGGGACAGTCAATACCATGTTATTACATATTTTACTTTTATATAGGCATTTTTATCACACCTGGTTACAAGCTGAAGTAGCAATGCATACATTCTCTTGAAATAAGTGAGTTTCCCACTGAAGGGAAAAACTACATGGATGAAAGAATGTTAACTAACCCCCCACCCCAATCTACTCAGTGTTCAAGATCTGGCAGTTTGAATGGTTTACAAATGATCGTAGTATTAAGCACAACTCAAACGAAGTGCAAAGCACCAGAATCGTGTACCAGGTTATCCTGATATTAATACACAGCATAATCAAAATAAACAAAGCAAGGGTTTGTTGCTTTTTATTAAATTTGCAGGGGGTGGGTGGCTTACAAGTCACGTCTCCAGGTATAGAAATCTTTGCTCCTTGGACATCCAGAGAAGATAACAGTCACTTATGTTCATTCTTTAGAAGCAATGCATTAAGCAAACAGTCGTCACAAGGCTTTTTCTTTAAAAAAAAAAAAAAGGAAGAATCAACAAAAGACTAGAGAGTTTCCACATGATCTTATGGCCCACCAAAGCAGTCACTATATTGGGATTCAGCCAATCTTTCTATCTGCAATAACAGGCGGGATAATTGTTTCCCTCCCTCTCCCTCTCCCTCTCCCTCTCCCTCACACACAGAGAGAGAGAGAGAGAGAGAGAGAGAGCGAGCGAGAGCGAGAGCGCGCAATGAAGATAGAAGGTAATAGCGATGCACTATCATTTTAGGCAACACTGGATCCTCCTTGAAAATCAAGATGGGAAGAGTCGTCTTAACACATTTTTTTTTTACCTAGCCAACAAAATTTCTGTTGACATAATAAAATGAATCTCCCATGTGAAACTTCCAGATAATTTTTGCTTAGCTAATTTAGAAACCGTGAAAACATAATTACACCCATTTGAATGCTTAAGTAATGCTGTGAGGCAGGGTTTTCTGCTGACAGAGCCCTGGAGGGGTTTTTTTTTTAACACAGTAAATCAAAATGCTTGGGTGGAAAATTTGTAATCTACCCACTTAAAGACTTGCTAGTCAAGAGACACAGAGACTTCTCCTGAGATTTGAAAACAGAGCTAAGTGGGCAGTCCCTTATTTCTAAGCCAGTATTACTCTTATCGGGGTTGGTCAGCAACTGTTAGCCATCCAGATGTATTTAATGATAATCAATCCAGCAAGCTTGTTAGAAAGCACTTTTATGTTCTCATCTGGTCTGGAAGCACTGAAGTTGGCATTTCCCTACCACTTCTGTTTCTTCATTTTCCTTTTTTTTGGAGTGGGGGGGGGGAGGGCGGTTATGGTCCATTTTTGTTGGGTTTCTTTTTTTGGAGGGGTGACAGACAGGTTGATTGTTTTCTGTGTTTACTTCTTTTTTTCTTCTCTTAATATTAGCGTTAGTTAATTTATATATGCGGTTTGTTATAAACAGCATAGGTACTGCCCTAGATGCTTGGGAAGTGCAAGGTGTGATCTTGCTTTCACCTGAGCTGTTTTGTGGTGATGGGATGGTTGAGAAAGAAGGGGCAATATGTTACCTTCAAATTCGTACAGTGTACGGATTTCTATGTGAGCAACTTTTGTAAGGCTTTGCATGTGCTGTGAATGATCTAGCAAGAAGGGAATGGTGGATGAAATAGATATTTCAGGCATATAGTTGTACTTCTAGATCTGTGTCTATTGGGTGCTAGAGAAGTATAAAAATAGCAACAATAATATTCTTCTTTTGGTTGCTTCTCATTTGTATTTATTGGGAGGGCTCATATGTCATCAATACCACTAGGAACTTCACCCACACTC